AGTGAAATAAACTTCAACGGAATAAAGTTGAATGGAATTTAATTGAAATAACTGTTCAGTGCACTGATATCAGACTCATTTTGGTAATAGTTTATTGTTAAATTGTTAAATGCTAAAATTATATTTGAGATATTTCAACTGTCTAATATTAATGGACATATTTTATAACATGAATGTTAAAAGAATAACATAGCATTTTGTGAAACATACCAAGGTGGTAACGTGGGTAGAGTTGATACACCCTTTATAGGTCACTATAAATTGTATGCATGAACAGTTCAATCATAGAAAATGAAAAAGAGGCTGCATGTGTGTGTGTACTGGTATTACCTACGTTATGGGGACCAAATGTCCCCCCACAAGTATAGTAAAAACCAGTAAATTCTAACCTTATGGGACATTTTTAGGTCCCCATGAGGAAACAAGCTTATACAGGTGCATCTCAATAAATTAGAATGTCATGGAAAAGTTCATTTATTTCAGTAATTCCACTCAAATTGTGAAACTCGTGTATTAAATAAATTCAATGCACACAGACTGAAGTAGTTTAAGTCTTTGGTTCTTTTAATTGTGATGATTTTGGCTCACATTTAACAAAAACCCACCAATTCACTATCTCAACAAATTAGAATACTTCATAAGACCAATAAAAAAAAACATTTTTAGTGATCCGTAAGTGCCCTGCGAAGTGGACTTCACATGATATTCTGCCATGATTCCAGTTCCAAGGGAACATACACGTTACATTCAAAGGGCATTAAAGTGTGCGGGACGTGAATTTAAATAGTATTTATTTAGAGGTAGGCTATATTATGTCACACTTCACACTTCTCTAGTAAGTTTCGTCTGTGTGTGAAGACAGTAGAGCAAATCCGTGAATGAATGTTCCGAAGTGAAATAAACTTCAACGGAATAAAGTTGAATGGAATTTAATTGAAATAACTGTTCAGTGCACTGATATCAGACTCATTTTGGTAATAGTTTATTGTTAAATTGTTAAATGCTCTGCCTCCATTACATATCTCTGTCACATCATTATGAGTGTTTGATGACCACATTTGAGTGATCATTGCAAAAAATGTGTTTATGTATATATATTCTGTTTATGTATATACTGTATTCTATATAGTACCAGTCAAATGTTTTGCCCACAAGAATGGGAAAGTGTCCAAACTTTTGACTGGTACTGTACTATAATATACACAAAGAATATCGGCCGATATATCGATATCGGCCTTTTTTACTCCGTAATATCGGCATCGATAAAAAATCCATATCCATAATTACAACCATCCCTTTACATTTACTGCTCTAATAAAAATATAACTAGGGTAGACTGAGTACATTTGGGACATGTGTACAGTTGAAACACCTTAAATAACTTGCGTGCACAGGAACCCCGAGCAGTGATTTTTGCTCCACACATGCTTATTAGCATTCTCTTTGATTATGGGAAATTTGAAAGGTGTGTATCTTTCCACTCTGAAGATATCGGCAAGTTTTTTTTTTTCCAATGTAAGATTTTCATTTCACCATGTCCCTTCCACAATGAATAGCTTATTATCCTTTTATGAAACTAAACATATCTCTTTGCAAACGTTACTCTGTGCTCTAAAAATAGACATTTTATGACCCCGTGCCATGCAAGGTCTTTGCATAATCTAGAGAAACGTGCGAGTATGGCAGTGAGGTACGGTTGAGACGCAGTGTATCAACTGTACCCAGATTGGTGTCCTATTGCGTCACATGCTGTTTCGTTGTACAGTGTTATGATAATAGGTTAAAAGTCACATTTACACACATGCTACGCAAATTATGTTAAAAAAATTATATTTGAGATATTTCAACTGTCTAATATTAATGGACATATTTTATAACATGAATGTTAAAAGAATAACATAGCATTTTGTGAAACATACCAAGGTGGTAACGTGGGTAGAGTTGATACACCCTTTATAGGTCACTATAAATTGTATGCATGAACAGTTCAATCATAGAAAATGAAAAAGAGGCTGCATGTGTGTGTGTACTGGTATTACCTACGTTATGGGGACCAAATGTCCCCCCACAAGTATAGTAAAAACCAGTAAATTCTAACCTTATGGGACATTTTTAGGTCCCCATGAGGAAACAAGCTTATA